TACGGAGAGGAAGCAAGAGGGATAGAGAGTTACAAACATCGATGAGAGAGAGACATCGATCAGCTGCCTCCTGCACACTCCCTACTGGGGATGTGCCCGCAACCAAGGTACATGCCGTTGACTGGAATCGAACCTGGGACCTTTCAGTCTGCAGGCTGATGCTCTATCCACTGACCCAAACCAGTTCTGGCCCTTCCTCTCTCTTATATCAATAAAAACATTTATTTATTTTTCTTTATTAAGGTATTACATATGTGTCCTCATCCCCCCACTCATGCCCTCACTCTGCCTGGTGTCTTTGTCCTTTGGTTAGGCTTATATGTATGCATATAAGTCCTTGGGTTGATCTCTTCCTCTTACCCCCACCTTCCCTCTGAGGTTTGAAGGTCTGATCGATGCTTCTCTGTCTCTGGATCTGTTTTTGTTCATCAGTTTATGTTGTTTATTAAAGAAAAACATTAAAAAAAAAAAAAAAAAGAGGCCTTAGCTGGTTTGGCTCAGTGGATAGAGCATTGGCTTCTGGATTGAAGGGTCCGGAGTATGATTCTGGTCAACAGCACATGCCTTGTTGCAGGCTTGATCCCCTGTAGGAGTGTGTAGGAGGCAGCCAATCAGTAATTCTCTCATCACTGATATTTCTATCTCTCTGAAATCAATAAAAATATATTTAAATTAAATAGATGAATAAAAAAATAAGTAGAGTCAGAAAGACTGGGCTTGGAATTCTGGCCCTGTCACTTACTAGTTGTGAGATATGGGACAGGTTATTTAACTGGTTAACTCCTTTGTGAAATGGGTGGAATAAAAATTAGATTACAAAATGAAAGAATGCATCTAAAACCTCCAGTATATGCTGAAACCGGTTTGGCTCAATGGATAGCGGCCTGTGGACTCAAGGGTCCCGGGTTCGATTCCGGTCAAGGGCATGTACCTTGGTTGCGGGCACATCCCCAGTGGGGGGTGTGCAGAAGGCAGCTGATCGATGTACATCTCTCATCGATGTTTCTAGCTCTCTATCCTTCTCCCTTCCTCTCTGTAAAAAAATCAATAAAATGTTTAAAAAACAAAAAAACCTCCAGCATAATAGCCATAACAGAAGAGGGCTCAATAAATTTTGGTTTTGTCTCTTACAACTGCAAAGCCATTCCAGAATTCTGACTGTACTGGGATCTCAGTTTTGAGTAATTTCAGTCCACATTTTCTGCCTTTTGGAATTACATCCCAGTCAAACCCATTTTCTTAATTAACATCTTCCTAAATTTGTCTCAAGGGAAACGGCCTGGATTTTACCCTGGCCTTATAATCTGCCTGGACAGAGATGCTAAGCTTCTCAGCCATTTAACCTAAGTTTGACAGCCTCCCGTTTTCAGATGGTGAGACCTTGGAGAACACTTAATCTTCAGCGGAATCTGGGCCAGTTTCACCAGGACAAAGAGGAGGAGCAGAGCACTGTGCTAACTAATTCAGGACATTCAGTCACTTTATCACTTTAATCCATTAATCTAATTACAAAGTGACTAAGACCAAATAGTCTTTTGGATATTTTAGCTCTACTTCTCTCCTAAGGCACCCTATACTTCAGCTTGAAAGATTCTGGATTATTCGAAGTAGATATAAAAGACCTCTTTTAAATTAAGAGAAGAGTAAAATAAAATGGCAAACCTAGAACCAAACAGAGGAGATGACCGATCCTGAAAAAAAGGCAGAAAACTTGAAAGAAAAACAAAAGAGTTGAAGGCAAGGGATGGTAGGAGTAGAGTAATGATTAGGTGACTATTATCCTGTATCTGTGTTAATAAGCAACAACACAACTCTGGACAATTATTTCCCTCTATTGAATCCACATTGTGGTGCATATTATTGATTCACTTGTTCAACAAATAGGTATTATGCATAGACAACATGACTGGCAATGAGTAAGGTGCCAGGATTGTAATAGGGAATAAGATTAAGTTTATAGTCTAATGCAGTGGCCAAAAAACTCAAATAGGAACCAGCAACAGTGGTCACACATAGCATATGAGTTCCATGTATGGGTGTGAAATTAAAAAATCCATATATGATGGGAATGATGAAGCTGAAAGAGTAGCATCTCTGTATTCAATGGGACAGCTGTTACTCAGCTCCATCTGATTTTTGCCTTTCTGTTGCCAGATTAAAAAAAAAATTTTTTTAGTTTTCAATTAGTTTACATTCAACATTATTTGCATTAGTTTCAGGTGTGCAGCCTAGTGGTGCTTTCTTCTTAAAGTGTGTTGCCAGATTTCTAAAACATTTAAAGAGAAACCAGAAATCTGATTTTTATGTGAATCTATTGTTTAATTGATATTGGCTCAAAATTTAAAAAACAAACGAACAAACAAACAAAACAGACACTAGTTTGAAATTCTCTAATTACAGAGGATTTGTTACTGGTGAAAGTATGAATGAGCTCATAGTTTTGAAATAGTAGTAGGTGTAGGAGTAGAAATTGTTACTTAACCTGCTCAACTTGATTTTGAAAGTTATGATTCAGTGGAAGCATAAGCAGAGTCAGTTGATACAGAATTATAAATGAATATCCTAAAATGGCAATCTAGATTATCAGAGGGTGCACACTCTAAACAAAGTCCGTGGAAATATAACTTTACAGTTCTAGATTTATGGTGGGCATGATTACTCTAGGGCACACGAAAAGCAGAGTAATGGGAATTGTTAGAACGATGAATATTGGAAACATAAAAGGAGTTGTCTGTTTCAAACATGGTTTCTATCAGTTGCAGCAGTTTCAGAAAATTTTCTTTATCCTTGAGACCCTCCTCCACATCTTAAAAAAAAAAACAAACTTTTTTTTTTTTTTTTTTAACAGAAAGGAAGGGATAGGGATAGAGAGTTAGAAACATCGATTAGAGAGAAACATCCATCAGCTGGCTCCTGGATACACCCTACTGGGGATGTGTCTGCAACCAAGGTACATGCCTTTGGCCGGAATTGAACCCAGGACCCTTCAGACCGCAGGCCAACGCTCTACCACTGAGCCAAACCGGTTTAGGGCTCTCCTCCACATCTTGTTGGATGAGCTCAATTCCTATATTCCGGTAAGGAAGCCTGAGTTTCTCCATTTGTCTTCATTAATGTGTCAGTCTATAATATGTTATTTCCACCCTGACCCTCTTAGCTTTGCTTAAATATTCTTTGTTCAACACCACTCCAGATACCTATTTACATTTTTCTCAATCTCATCTGAACTCCTCCAGAATTTATGCTTCAGCATTCCTCTTACCCTTTTAAAAATTGTTTTAAATTTTTAAATATATTTTTATTGACTTCAGAGAGTAAGGGAGAGGGAGAGTACAAACATCAATGATGAGAGAGCATCATTGACTGGGTACCTCCTGCACATCCCACACTTGGGATCAAGCCCACAACCCGAGCATGTGCCCTGACCAGGAATCAAACTGCAACCTCCTGGTTCATAGGAGCCACACCATCTAAACCTTTAATCAATATCTACTATTGTCATTTATATGTATCACTTATATGTCTGATCTTTGCTGAACAAGAGAATACACATTTATGAGGGTAGGCACTGTAATTTTTATATATCTTAAATCCCCAAGATCACCTCCAGGTTTGATTTGCTAGGAGGACTTATAGGATTCAGAATATAGTCATACTCACAGTTTGACTTATTACAGTAAAAAGATATAAAGCAAAATCAGCCAAGGGAAAAAGCACACGGGGCAAGATCTGGAGGAAATAAAACACCAGCATCTGAGTCTTCTCTCACTGGACTCACACAGGACATACTTAATTCCTCCAGCAATAAGTTCTGACAACACATGTGAAATGTCAGCCAGGGGCACTCATCAGAAACTCAAGAGCTTGGGTTTTTGTTGCGGTTGATCATGTAGGCAACCTCTGCCTACGACATACCAAAATTCCAGACTCCTAAGGAATATTCAGGTGCTTGACATAAATCATATTGTTTGCAGAAACGGTTCAGGCACAGTCAGCTACTCATCATTTAGGGAAAGTTTATATCAGTGTAGGGAACTGTTTATTATTCAAAAATGAGTTCAGAAGAGCTAAACTATTTGCTTAATTTCACATGGCAAAACAAGTGAAGGAACTAGGCTTTAATATTTTTCCCAAATCAATGTTTCTCTACTACACATACTGTATTTTTCCTAAATAGGTATTGCCTGTCTAATAGATTAATGTTTTATAAGTGGAATTTGCACCAAGCATGTAAAAAGGAGGTCAAGCACAGATTTTCTTCGATTCTAGAATTCTAGTTTTAGAATTTCTAATTACTATCTTCTTAAGACTCCAAGAGAAACTGGAAGTCTTAGAGAGTAGAACTTTGGTACCAGTGCTTGCTTTCCATTTATGTCCACTCCTTTTGAAAGTGTATTTTGTCACATATAACAAACAAACGGATATAAAGACGAATAAGATCTTTGCCTCTGAAGAGCTCACAGCCTAATTTTGTTGAAAGAAAATGTAAGACAGAATGAGGTAAATACCATAAGTACCTAATAGAAGCAGATGAGAAGAGTCCAGAACAGTCGATACTAGACAAAATAAGTTAAACGTTGTTGTCACTCTTTGAATATACTGCTCCCTAGACAGCACCTATTTAAAGATGCATATTGCTCATCTTGCTACAAACGTCAGGGAGCATCAACGCGTCCTATTCACAGACTTAAGGACTCAAAGAAAAGCTTTAGAGTAAAAAACGCTGCTGACGTTCTTTCGCAGACCGTTGAGCTTGGGTCTGAGATTTCCCAGGAACTGGTTTCGGTTCCGCGAGGAAAAGCTCGGGCAGAAGCTTGCAGGCAGCACCGAGGGGCCCGGCGGGGCCGAACCCGCGCCCGCGGGGCTGGGTGGTGAGCCTGCAGGCCGGGAGGTGCTCGCCGCGGCTCGGCAGGTAGCGCCCCGGAGGCCAGACCTCGCCCGGGACGCTCAGCCCCGCGGAGAGCGCGGCGGACGCGGCGGCGGCGGCGGCGGCGGGAGGCAGCTTCCTGGCCCCGGGGCGCCGGGCAGCTCTGCGCATGCGCGTGAGTCGCGCGACAACCGTCACTTACGGCCGAGGCGGTTCGTGCGGGGAGCGGGCGGCGCGCTGCGGCTCTAGAGAACGGACGGCTCGGGCGCGGGTAATCAGCCCCCTTTCCCCTCCTCTCACCGCTCCTCGTAGGATCTTGGGACCATGGAGCTTCCGGACCTGACGCGGGCGCCCGGCCGTGGACTGCCCCCCCCCCCCCCCGCTCGGGGCGATCCGGCGCCCAGGTGGGGGTGAGGGGCGGGGCCGGGGGCTCGCCCGGACTCCATCCCGGCGTCTCCGCGGTGGGGTCTCTCGGGTCGCTGGGTCACTCCTGCTTTGCTCTCCTTCTCCAGGACTGGTATCCGGGACGGTGACTCTCAGGGTCCGCCATGGAGCCGGAGCAGATGCTGGAGGGACAGACGCAGGTACCCGGAGGCCCCGGGCGGGTCGTGGCGGCGGTGTGCGGAGAGAGAGGGGGGCCGAGGGCTCTGACCTGGGTTTTGTTTTCCAGGTTGCAGAAAACCCTCACTCCGAGTACGGGCTCACAGATAACGTGGAGGTAACTCGCCCAGTTCCTATGCCGTTTCTGTACGTCTCTTAAGAGCTGGGGAGGGGGGAAAAAAACCCTCGGGATCTGTTTTAACTAGGTTTGCTTTGCATAAGGGAAGAAACTTTATCGTTATGAAGCAGATACTATCACATTATGGGTTGCTTGTTTTTTTTTTTTTTTTTTTTTTTTTTTTGGTAGCTTGTTTTATTAGTGGTACTAACACTTAGTGGTATACAGACGTACATATTAATTTTTAGTGAAGAGGTTGAACTTGTGAAAGTGATGTAAAGAAACATGCATACGTTGCTAGTGGAGACTTAGAATCGTTTCGCCACCAGATATTGGGATATTGCTTTGGAAAAAACGTCACATTAAAATGAAGAAACCCGTTGTCTTTGTAGCAGGATTGTGTTGGTGTAGTCAGCATTTAATACATGTTGATTTTTTTGCAGAGTTCAGTAAGCAGGTGCCATTGGAAACTATAATATACACAGTAGATACTGTTTTTGCCTTACATGGTTAAGTCTGAATTCAGAGTGTAAATGTGGGGGGGGGGAGAAAAAAACTATGGAAAAGAAGATAACTTTTATAGTTTTTTTTGTTTTTGTTTTTTAAATATAAGTCCTAAGAGGTTATTGTCTAAAAGAAGTTACTTTGTAAATGAATAAGTTCTGGGACAAATGAATTACTAGGAGGTGGGTGGAGTTGGTTAGGAAAACCGAGGCTTCCTGAAGTTGTGTACGTTTTACTAAGAAAGGAAAGACATTTCTGGTGATTAAGTTTGGACAAATGAGGGCAGAAGCATTTCTGAGGAGAATAATCATTGTAACAGCTGCTATTAGTATTTCTTTAGCTCTTTTACTATGTGTCAGGCACATCCTTAATAATTGGCATATCTCTTCAGCCCTATAAAGACCCAGAAGTTGAGTATCTTTAAAGGTTTCCAAGAGGTAAGTGGAGTTAAACCTAGGCAGGTTGACATGTTAAAAGTACAATTAAATTGTGTTGCTGATCTTGACCAACTCCTAGGGTTTGCTGGCATGTGGAATGTCTACTCTGTGCCTATAAAACTGCTAGGCAATTTTATTGCTTTGTTATCAATACCGATAGAGAATCTTTTCTTTCTAATAAATACTGATAGAGAATCTTTTCTTTCTAATAAGTTTTTAGTTGAACTTCTGCTGAATCAGGTGAAGATACTTCACACCACTTTGTTTTCTAGTTATTTAAGAGATCTTTTTAAAGCATCAGTGGTCTTTTCTTGATTGTGCTTGCATATGATGCTGGAGCCATGCTGGTGTAGAGTGATAACAGCATGCTTTCCCCCAAACCCTCAGTCCAATTTCCATGGTAAAGTGAGGGGGGAAAAAAATGGAGTGGGTGTTCAATGATGATACATTATTTGGTGATTGGTCTTTTTGCTCCTATAATTTTAAACTGCTTGTTTTTTGAATTAATGGTGATAGTAAAGTAATTATGTTTATTTGTTAGTAATTTTTTTTACTTGGCAAAATAGAATTAACCCTGTTAATTTCTTTATTTATTGTATTAGTTTATTTCTAATTGTTTGCAATATATGAAAGTCTGGAAACCACAATTTTACAGCTGCTGCTGCTTTCTCTCTCTTTTTTAAAACATTTCTTAATTAAATTATTATCTGTGTACATATCTTACCATTGCCCCACCCCCCTCCCATAGATGCCTTCCCTCCCCAGAGTTTTGTGTCCATTGGTTGTACTTATATGCATGTATAATATACAAGTCCTTCGGTTGATCTCTTATCTCCCCCAGATCTCCCGACCCGCTGTAATTTGACAGTCTGCTTGTTGCTTTACTGTCTCTATATCTTTTGGTTCATCAGTTTATAATGTTCTTTATTATCCATAAATGAGTGAGGTCATGTGGTGTTTCTCTTTCATTGACTGGCTTATTTCACTCAGCATGATGTTCTCCAATTCCATCCAGGTTGCTGCAAATGATAAGAACTCCTTTTTTATGGCAGCATAGTATTCCATTGTGTAGATGTACCATAGTTTTTGGATCCAATCATCTGCTGACAGGCACCTAGGCTGTTTCCAAATCCTAGCTATTGTAAATTGTGCTGCTATGAACATAGGGGTGCATATATCCTTTCTGATTGGTGTTTCTAGTTTCTTGGGATATATTCCTATGAGTGGGATTACTGGATCAAATGGGAGATCCATTTTCAGTTTTTTGAGGAAACTCCACACTGTTCTCCACAGTGGTTGCACCAGTCTGCATTCCTACCAGGAGTGCACGAGGGTTCCTTTTTCTCTGCAACCTCGCCAACATTTGTCTTTTGTTGATTTTTTGATGTTGGCCATTCTGACAGTTGTGGGATGGTACCACATTGTTGTTTTGATTTGCATCTCTCGTATAATTAGTGACTTTGAGCATGTTTTCATGTGCCTCTTGGCCTTCCTTCTGTCTTCTTTTGAGAAGATTCTATTTAGGTCTATTGTCCATTTTTTAATTGGCTCATTTATCTTTCTTTTATTAAGTTGTATAAGCTGTCTGTAGATGTTGGAGATTAAACCTTTATCAGTGATAACATTTGCAAATATGTTTTCTCCTACAGTGGATTTTCTTTCTTTTTTAAAAAAAATTATTTTATTGAATTTTTACAGAGAGGAAGGGAGAGAGAGAGTTAGAAACATCGATGAGAAACACTTATCAGCTGCTTCTTGCACACCCTCTACTGGGGATGTGTCCGCAACCAAGGTACATGCCCTTGACTGGAATCCAACCCAGGACCCTTCAGTCTGAACCCAGGACCCTTCAATCCGAAGTCTGATGCTCTATCCACTGAGCCAAATGGGTTTCGGCTGCTTTTTCTATAATGGTTTTCTTTTTATTGGTTTGTTTAATTATTTTTAGGTGTTGGCTTTAGGATTTATATAGTATGCGAGTTTAATTTACCACAATTTACCTTCAAGTGGTAGTATATATTTTCATTTATAGTTTAAGAATTTTACAACAGCAGTCTTTCATTCATTTACTCTTTCCTGGCCTTTGTACTATTGCTATCATATATTTTACTTCTACATATGTTATAAATTCTACACTTCATTATTTTTATTTTTCTTTAAAAATTCAATGATCTTTAGAGAGATTTAAGCAGTAAGAAAAAGGAGTATTTCACGTTTACCTACACATTTACCATTTCTGGGCTCTTCATTCTTTAAAAAATATATATATATATTTGTATTGATTTCAGAGAGAAAAGGAGAGGGACAGAGACATAGAAACATCAATGATAAGAGAACCATGGATTCCTCCCTCTAGGAATTCCCCACTGGGGATTGAGCCCCCAATCCTACCGGGATGGAACTGTGACCTCCTGGTTCAGAGATTGAAGCTCAACCTCTGAACCATACCATTCAGGCAGCGCTTCATTCTTTAGTGTAGATCCAGACTTCTGTCTGTCACCGTTTTTCTTCCACCTGAAGTGTTTCCTTTAACATTTCTTGTAGTTCAGGTCTGCTGGTAAGGAATGCTTTAAGTTTCTGTGTGTGTGAAAATGTCTTTGCCTTCATTTTTTGAGATATCTTTGCTGGGAGCAGATTTATTCCACTGTCTTTTGGCTGATATTGTTTCTGACAAGAAGTCTGCTATCATTCCTGTCTTTGCTCCTTCATACTCAATTACTTTTTTCTTAGGTCTTTTAAAATTTTATTAACAGGTTTAAAATAATTTGATTATGTTGTTTCTTGGTGTACTTTAAAAATTGTTTTTTCTTTTTTCTTCTTAAATTTTTGTTTTTTGTGCTTAGGATTTATTGAGTTTTTTGGATCTGTACATTTAGTTTTCATGAAATTTTAAAACAATTTTAGCTATTTAAATTATTTTCAAGTATTTTTAACTTGTGCTTCTATACTCTTGAACACATGGAAGGAATATCTTATAATAACTTTAATAACATTGCCTATTTTATCATTTATATCATTTCTGGGTTTCTCTGAGTTGATTTTGCTCCTCATTATGGGTAATATTTTCCTGCTTTGCTGCTTTATAATTTCTTTTTATTCTCATCTGAGGATATATTTATTGATTTTAGAGAGAGAGGAAGGAAGAGAGAAAGTGAGATAAAGAGAGAAAGAAAAACATCTATCGGCTGCCTCCTGCATGTCCCTTGACCAGGGATTGAGCCTGCAAACTGGGGATGTGCAATATTTTATTGGAAGCTGAGTATTATGAGTTTCACCTTATTGGGTACTGGTAATCTTTTTATTCCTTCAAACATTGTTGAGCTTTGTCCTAACAGTGGTTGGCAAACTCATCAGTCAACAGAGCAAAATATCAACATTACGACAATTGAAATTTCTTTTGAGAGCCAAATTTTTAAAACTTAAACTTCTTCTAACGCCACTTCTTTCAAATAGACTCGCCCAGGCTGTGGTATTTAAAAAATATATGTATTTTATTGATTTTTTACAGAGAGGAAGGGAGAGAGATAGAGAGTTAGAAACATCGAGGAGAGAGAAACATCAATCAATCAGCTGCCTCCTGCACAACCCCTACTCGGGATGTGCCCGCAACCAAGGTACATGCCTTTGACCGGAATTGAACCTGGGACCTTTCAGTCCGCAGGCTGACGCTCTATCCACTGAGCCAAACCGGTTTTGGCAGGCCGTGGCATTTTGTGGAAGAGCCACACTCAAGGGGCCGCAGTTTGCCGACCATGGTCCTAGGACATAGTTACTTGGAAACAATTTGATCTTTTTGAGGTTTGCTCTTCCCTAAGTAGGACCAGATCAGCCTTTAGTTTAGGCTTCATTTCTTTTTCTTTTATATTCTATCCAGTGCTTCATATGTTATGAGGTTTTCCAGTCTAGGTCACAGAAACATGAAGAACTCCTGGCCTGTGAGTGCTCCTTCCACGTGTTTTTTTCCTTGGCCTCCAGTAGTTTCCTCACACCCATGCTTGGATAGGAACTCACCGAAGACTGGATGGCAGTCTCTTAGGTGTTTTCCTGTGCCACTTGCTACCTCCCATGTGAATTCTAGATGGCTTTGTCTCCCTGAATTTTCAACTCTCTTCTCAACCCAGGGAGACTGTGGGTTCTGCTTTGATTCCCTTTGGTTTCCTGTATTGCATCTTACAAGTTCTCCAGGCAGGAAGCAGTAAGTTGGGGTAATCATAAGCTCACCTTATTTTTTTCCTTTTTTTCTATCACTCTTCTAAACTGTTAACAGTTTATTATTTATGTTTTATAGTAGTTTGGAGATACAGTTGTTTTTTTAGATCGGTTCAGGACTTTATCTTAACTAAAGTTAAGCATAGCAATTTGGCACATAGTGAAAATTCAGTAAATATTTAATGAAACAAATGAGAGAACTTGGTTAAAGAGTTTATTACAGTATTTATAGGATTTGGTTAGGGATTGCTGTTTCTTACTGAAGGCATTGGGATGTCATGTAACTGACTAATTTTTGTCGTATATAGGTATTATCTGTTGAAAATTACTGATGGGCACTAAGTAATCTATGGACAAATAAATAGCTCTGTTACTAGATATAGGAAAATTTCTTATTAAGTCCTAAAATTACATTGAAAAATCATAAGCAAAATTAGAATTGCTGCCTTACAAATTTGTAGGAACTATCTTTGGAAAGCATGGTATATATTATGTAGATATGCGATTAAAGTTTTTTCTCACTTTTTACAAAATAAAATTAAATCTAAAAATATTAAATATAGGAAATGTTTTGTTGTTGATTTATTTTTTTATTTTTTATTTTTTTAAATATATTTTATTGATTTTGTACAGAGAAGAAGGGAGAAAGATAGAGAGTTAGAAACATCGATGAGAAAGAGTCATCGATCAGCTGCCTCTTGCACACCCCCTACTGGGGATGTGCCCGCAACCAAGGTACATGCCCTTGACCGGAATCAAACCTGGGACCCTTCAGTCCCCAAGCTGACGCTCTATCCATTGAGCTCCTCTGATTTTCCTTCTGGTTTTCTCCCTCCTTCCTATTGTAGAGTTTTCAGTCAGTCGACTACCTGTAGCTCTGGGCAATGTCCACTCTACATTTTAGTTGTATTCCATTGAAATTGTTGTGTGCTGCTGCAGTTAGATGTCTACCTGAGCAGCCATCTTGGATCCTCCTCTGCTGTTGTCTCTTCCGCTCTATCCATTGAGCCAAACCAGTCTTGGCTGTTGTTGATTTATTTATATTCGCTTTGAGTATGTTTGGAGCAAAAGTTCATTTAAATGGAAGTGCTCTTAATAGTGTTCTGTATTTTAGATAGCCACTTATTTCTAAATTTCTAAAATGGTAATTTTTCAAAAGAACGGAAAATTTTTCACTAGGGTAGTATTTTTAAAAATATATTTTTATTGAGTTCAGAGAGGAAGGGAGAGAGAGAGAAACATCAATGATGAGAGAGAATCATTGATCGTTTGCCTCCTGCAGGCCCTCTAATGGGGATGGAGCCAGCAACCCAGGCATCTGCCCTTGACCGGAATCGAACTTGAGATCCTTCTGTCTGCAGGCCAAGGCTCTATCCACTGAGCCAAACAGCTAGGGCTGTAAAGTAGTTTTTGATGCTCTGGATGTCAGTTGAATCTATGTGAAAGTCCTTAGATTTGGGGGTTCTTAGGAGTAGGAAGTCTAAATCATTGTTTCCTAAACATCATTTGAATATCACAATCATCTTTTCCATATTATTCTTTTTCCCTGTTTTTTTTTTTATTGTTATCTTTTACTTACTTTTTTTTTTTCTCTTTATTCACTTTAAAAAATCATAGATGCTGCCGAAACCCGTTTGGCTCAGTGATAGAGCGTTGGTCTGCGGACTGAAAGGTCCCAGGTTCGATTCCGGTCAAGGGCATGTACATTGGTTGCGGGCACATCCCCGGTAGGGGGTGTGCAAGAGGCAGCTGGTTGATGTTTCTCTCTCATTGACGTTTCTGGCTCTCTACTTCTCTCCTCCTCTCTGTAAAAAATCAATAAAATGTATTTAAAAAAAAATTCATAAATGCATAAACAAATAAATAAATGGAAAAGCATTCTCATTGGATAGTGGTAATTTTAGCTGCATTTTGTTTCCAGTGGAAGGCTCTGAGCCTGAAGCCTACTCTCTGTGAGAACAGAGTTAAGCAAGTGTTACAGAAGTGTTAAAGACATTAGCACCAAACTGAAACTTTGTCCTTGATATTATCTGTGATGAAAGAATTGAAATAGGACTAGCTTTCTCACTGTGATTCAGTGCTACTTAGTTGCATGTCCAGATTTTTTGAAGTACACTGTACGAAGGCAGTCTCATGAAAAAAGGAGGACTTGTATTTACTTCTAAAAAGGCAGAGGAAAGTGACAAAGAGGTAGGATCTAGAGATCTGGCATTAAAAGAAAGAGATGGTGCTCTCAGAAGACACTTGAATGAAATTTAGAGATGGGTCTGATTTTATTTTGGCAAAGAGATTTGCAGTTCAATACCAGTTTTTAGTCAATGGCTTGCCTTTTCTGTTAGCGTCATGTTTCCATTATTTTTTGTTTAGCACTCACAATAATCTGAGTATTTGTAATATTATGCATATTTTTTGGATTCACTAGAGGATAGTAGAAAATGAGAAGATTAATGCAGAAAAGTCATCAAAACAGAAAGTGGATCTACAGTCTTTGCCAACTCGTGCCTACCTGGATCAGACAGTTGTGCCTATCTTATTACAGGGACTTGCTGTGCTTGCAAAGGAAAGGTAAGATAATAGTGTCTGCAGAAGGAGTTATCAGAGAATGACTTTTCTAACTGAAATATCACTAGTTATGTATATATTTTTTTTCGTATAAAAAGAACTTAGGCATATTAAAAACATTTTAAAAGTCAGCCATAATCTCAGTTCAGACACTTCGTTTTTTCTACAAGTCTTTGATCATATCCATATTTACAAAGACTTGTAATCATGGTATACATGCAGTTTTATATCTCCTTTTTACTGAATATTATAACAAAGTTTTTTTTCCATATCTCTTCATAGACTTCATGATTATAATTTAAATTATAATAGTACAATTAACTTGGGCAATTAAATAGTACAATTAATTTTCTCATGTTGAAAATTTAAATTCAATTTCCTTTGTTGTTATAGATCACCAGGCAGTTTATCTGTTTTCATGCCTCTTTTGTTATTATGTAATTACTTTCACATGCTAAATTTCTAAGAGTTGGTTTACTAGTTCAAAGGATATAATTTTTATGGTGTTTGATACTTAGTATCATATTTATGTCCAAAATTTTATTTTATCTTTTAGAGAGAGTAGAAGAGAGGGGAGATACACAGAGAGAGGAACATTGATGTGTGAGATAGACACATCAGTTGGTTGTCTCCTACATGTGCCCCAACCAGGGACAGGGATTGAGCCTGCAGCTGAGTTATGTGCCCTTGACTAGAATTGAACCTGGGATTCTTTAGTCCCAGAGTGGCAAACCGTGGCTTGCGAGTCAGCCACAATTTGTCGACCACTGCTTTAGACTGTGGGCTGATGCTCTACTCACTGAGCAAAACTGGCTAGGACCAAAAGTTTCTTTTTTTTAAAAAAATATATTTTATTTTTTTTACAGAAAGGAAGGGAGAAGGATAGAGAGTCAGAAACACTGATGAGAGAGAATCATCAATCAGTTGCCTCTTGCACACCCCCTACTGGGGATGTGCCCGCAACCAAGGTACATGCCCTTGACCGGAATCGAACCCGGGACCCTTCAGTCTGCAGGCCGACGCTCTATCCACTGAGCCAAACCGGTTTTGGCCAAAATTCTTTCACTGTTATAGCCTCAACAGCATGAGTATTATAAACATTTTTTGCCAATTTTTAAAAAATTTATTTTGGCGGGGGAAGAGAGGGAGAGAGAGAGAGAGACAGACAGACAGACAGACAGACATTGATTTGTTGTTCCACTTGTGTATTCATTGGTTGATTCTTATATGTACCCTGACTGGGTATCAAACCAGCAACCTTGGTGTATCAGGATGATACTCTGAACAGCTGAGCTACCTGGCCAGGGCTTGTCAAATTGTTTCAATTTCTTTATTAACAAGATTATAATTTTTCTCTTTTTTTGTATAGGTTTTACTCCAGAAATTCTACCTAAATTATTTTTGTGTAAGCAAATCCCATAAAAAATATTTTTGTAAGTTACATTAGTCATCATTTATTTGGTGCAGATCATGTTTTTTTAAATATATTTTATTGATTTTTTACAGAGAGAAAGGGAGAGAGATAGAGAGCTAGAAACGTCGATGAGAGAGAAACATTGACCAGCTGCCTCTTGCACACCCCCCACGGGGGATGTGCCCGCAACTCAGGTACATGCCCCTGACCAGAATCGAACCTGGGACCTTTCAGTCCGCAGACCGACGCTCCACCACTGAGCCAAACCGGTTTCGGCCAGATTATGTTTTCAAAGAATAATAATGAATACTAGCCCTAGCTGGTCTTACATTGATGTTTCTCTCTCTGTCTCTCCCCCTCCCCTTTCACACTCACTAAAAATCAATGGAGCCCGCCCGCCATGGCTCAGTGGTGAGTGTCGACCTATGAACCAGGAGGTCAGGGTTTGATTCCTGGTCAGAGCATATACCCGGGTTGCGGGCTCCATCCCCAGTAGTGGGGCGTGCGGGAGGCAGCTGATCCATGTTTCTTTCTTTCTCTTCCTTTCCTTTCCTCTCTGAAATCAATAAAAATATATATATAAAAAAAATCAATGGAAAAAATATCCTTGGATGACTATTAACCACCAAAATGAATACTAGTAAACATATAATTTGATAAGGAACTTGATGTTTTCTTATTAAGAGAGCTCATCATTGATGTTTCTGTCCCTTTCTCTCTCTCCCCCTCCCTTCCTCTCTGAAATCAATAACAATACTATATTGAAAAAAAAAAAAAATGAGACTTACTGATCAGCTGCCTCATGCACACCCCTGCAATATGGGCGTGTATCCTGCCTGAGTGGGAATTGAACTGTGACCTTATAGTTCATGGGTTGATGCTCAACCAGTGAGCCACTCCAGCCGGGCATGTTTATATAAATTATATGGTAAACATTAAATATTTGCTTTAGATTGTTACATTTATAAAATGATTTATTTTTTATTTTTTTAAAACATCTTTTAAAAATATATTTTTATTGATTTCAGAGAGGAAGGGAGAGGGAAAGAGATAGAAACATCAATGATGAGAGAGAGTCATTGATCGGCTGCCTCCTGCATGCCCCCCACTGGGCATCAATTCTGAAACCCAGGAATGTGCCCTTGACCAGATTCAAGCCTGCGACCGTTCAGTCCACAGGCTGCTGATGCTCTATCCACTGAGCCAGACTGGCTAGGGCAAATATGATTTAGTTTGGGCTCTCTACTGACAGTTGAAGAATGGACATCTTTTATTTTTTTTTTCTCTCTAAAAAATAATTAGAAATTCTAAATATTTACGTGATAGAAGAAAAAATTTGAAGCAGTCCTAAGTTATATGCTATTAGTATATACAATTTTTAAGAAGTTTGATTTATTAAATTAATCTTGAAAAATGTTGTCTATGTTTAGCTAGTTAAAAGATAGTTTAAAGTGCTAAGGGAATATTTTGAGATCATTATTAAATATTCTCAATATGCCTTTTCCTAGTAGGGTTTAAATAGGTTTTCCCCCCATTTTCTTTTTCTTTTTAATATATTTTATTGATTTTTTTTACAGAGAGAAAGGGAGAGAGATAGAGAGCTAGAAATGTCGATGAGAGAGAAACATCGACCAGCTGCCTCTTGCATACCCCTTACCGGGGATGTGCCCGCAACCAAGGTACATGCTCTTGACTGGAATCGAACCTGGGACCCTTCAGTCCGATGCTCCACCACTGAGCCAAACCGGTTTTGGCTTTACCCCCATTTTCATCTTTGGACTTGTTTTCTCAGCAAGAATTATTTATACAAAAGTGATAAGTATGAAGTTATACCCCTAAACTTTAAAATACGTTTAACTTTTCAGGTGTGTTGTATAGTGGCAGTATTAGAACTACTATTGATTTAAATTATTTTAAGAAAAATAGAAATGACATTTTAAAAAGCAACACAAAACGTGTTCAAATGAATACTACTTCCTTTGATTAATCACTTAGATAGTTCCTCTACCTGTCTTGGTGATGCTACAGCCATTTTCCTATGTAGTTTTGGTATTCTTATTGAAGGATGATATAAAGAAAATTAAGAATATTATAGGTGTACTGCTTGCTGAATTTTCTGGCACTAAGTTATGTAACCTGCATCAAATGGAACACTGCTGGCACTCCAGAAGTTTCCCTTGTGGTCCCTCAAGTCATTATTCCCCTGGGATAATTATCATCCCATTGTTAGTACATTTTCTAAACTTGTGTTTTAGAATTGAGTTCATAAGCAGATTTCAGCCATACAAAAATTTCAATTTCTTTAAACTACATTGTTGGCTAACCTGCTTACCTGTCTCATTTACTATACAGGATGTCCCCCAAAAATGTAATTATTAATTTCTTTGGGTTAAACCAGAAGAGGAAAAAACAATTGAGCTATCAGAAAAAAGTATGCATACAGTTTTGGGGGACACCCTGTATTTATTTACTACAAATGGCCTTTGAGTGTAAAAAGAAAGCTAAAATTTAAAAGACATATTTTTATTATGAACAATTTATTTTTTAGATGAACACATCTAGAATACAAATTTCTAAATTTTGGATTTCTTTTCCTTTACAGACCACCAAACCCCATTGAATTTCTAGCATCATATCTTTTAAAAAACAAGGCACAGTTTGAAGATCGAAACTGATTGGGAAGAACAGAAAAATTTGGTTTCTACTATAGATTTACATGATTAAGAGGCAGCTTTAATTGCCCTGATTTCCCCCATCCCTTTTTGGAAGTATAAGAACCGTCAGGACAACAACTTGTTCTTGGAGATGCAGAAGAAAACATATTTCCCTTATTTTGATTTAATCACCATACTTATTTAAAGAGTGTATTATGTGCAATTTTTTCTCAGATTGTCTTTAACTTTGTTTTTAAAATGACCTTCAAAATAAACTGTTAAATGTCATTATTGTAAAGTAGTTTTTGTTCTATATGCTAAGTAATTTATGTGGTTCAATTACTTTTATGACTTTTGTATCTTAGAATGCTGCGGAGTTTTACAACAGCATGAAAATACATCAGAATCTAATAGAATATTAACCCAATTTTTATCAACAACTAAAATAGATGATTCTAATGCACAATAAAGTTGGATTACTGGTGTAAGTGCAGAGGGTGTATAATTTCCTCCTGTGCTATCAACCTTTATGTTAATAATATAATAGCTATCGTTGCAGTTCTACATGCCAGTTGCAGTGCTATTTTACTTAAATTATCTCTAATATAGCAACTCTGCGAAGTAGATATTATTATTCCCATTTTGCAGATGAGGAAACAGATTTGGAGAGGATAAGTGACTTGCTGAAGACCACACTGGTAAGTGTTTGAATGGGCATTGAAACCCACTTTTACCAATATGTTGCTTATATCTAAGTCAGAAGTATTTGTGATACTTAACTTCATTGCTGCTTCTTACAATAAAAAACCAGTCAGACCTTTTTTTGGGGGTGTCTGCTCACTTTGACCTGTATGAGAGTAAGGGAGAGGGAGAGAGAAAAATCTATGTGAGATTGGAACGTCAATAGGCCTTCTCCTGCACATCTCCAATTGGGGGATTGAGCCAGCAATCCAGGCGTGTGCACTGACCAGGAATTGAACTGGGATGATACCCAACCAACTGAGCCACAGGGCTTAAATTTTTTATTTATTTATTTTTTAATGTATCAGCCAGTTGTCTGCTTTAAACTATACCAAAGATCTGTTCACTGTGAAATTCGGATGTAACAATTTTCTGGCTTTTAACCACAAACCTTTCACTGAAGATACTCAACTTTCTCTGTCTTACCAATTTGGAATGGTTTACTTCCTAACAACACTTATTGGGAAATCCAAGAAATCTTATTTTGCTGTGATGCTTCTATAATTTTAAAGGAATTCTTTTGCCCTTGACCCTTACATGAAATACTAGGGTTAATAAAAGTATGGAGGGTTGGAAATAATGTTTGCTGTTTGCCTACTATGCCATGCTCTATGTTTATTAACTCATAATCCTAGGGACATCCGAATATTATTATCCCCATTTTATAGATGAGAATAACAGGCTAGCTATACCACATTTTAGCTAGTTAGGGAGTTAAGACATGTACCTACATAAATATAACATGAAACAAGACAAATGTTTACAGCGTCAAAGCCAAGATTGGCTGGTAAGGGTGCCCTTGTGAAGCCAAAGCCAGCGTTTGCAGGACCTCAGGGATACCACCATGTACCTGCGCTAATGAACTCCCCAGCGTGGCTACGGACCTGCGGCTCCAGCAGTGAACCTTGGGGTGCGAATGCACTAAGGGTCCCTGGGTGCGATGCCGGGAGGGCGGTGCCAGCTGGACTTGCAGGTGGAAAGCACCATCTGTGGACCCCGGCGCCGCTCTGTGAAGGAACTGGCTGGGGGAGGGGGCTTGCCCTGCGGCTGCGTCCGCTCCCGAGCCCGCCCCTCCCGGCGCTGCCGCCGCTAAACCCCGGCGAGCGGAGCGCGCACGTTGCGAGTCCCGGCGGCCGGCCGCGGCGCTGGGCATGCTCAGTGGGCAGCACCCGCTGGAGCGGCGAGTGAGGGAGCGCCGGCTCCTGCGGGTCCGCCCGCCCGGTGCAGGCCCGGCCTGGGCTTTGTGTGCGCGGGGCCGCCCGACCCCGGATGCCGTCCGGCCCGGCCGGCTTCCGCCTTTAAGCCGCCGCCGGCGCAGGAGGGGCGGGGCGGGGCCGCGGCCCGGGGCGGGAGGCCCGGCCGGGCGTGGGTGGGGTGGGTGGGGTGGGTGCTGGGAGTCCCGCGGGGGTGGGGGTGGGGGTGGGGGCGGTGCGGAGTCACGGGGGTGGGGTCACCGCGGTGGCTCCGGGAGGCCGAGCGGGAGGCGAGGGGGCCGCGGGGGCGGCGCGGCGCGGACCAGCCCGGGCCGGGCAGCAGCGGCCACTCCGGGGCCGGCCCTGGGCGCTCCGGGCGTCGGGAGGCCGCCGCGGGCCCCACCTTCCGGCGGCCGCCGGAGTTCGTGCGGATCGTGGCCGCCGCCGCCCGGCTGCCATCTCCTCCTCCCGGGCCGCTGCCTCCTCCTCTTCCTCCTCCTCCTGGGCCGGGCCGACCTCCTCCCCGCCGCCGCCTCCTCCTGGGCCGGGCCCGCGGCGCCTCGTCCCCTCGCGGAGCCGCTCCCGCCGCCGCCTCCTCATTCATCCTCGTGCACCATAGGCGGCACCGGCTCCAAGATGTCCAACCGAGTGGTGTGCCGGGAAGCCAGCCACGCCGGGAGCTGGTACACAGCCTCAGGTAGGGCCCGCGCCGCCGCCCGCCCGGCCCCGCGCCCGCGGCCGAGGCTGCCGGCCCTGCCCCGGCGGCGGGGACCGGGCGGCGGCCTCGGCGGACCGCGTGGGCAGGAGGGCCGGGCCGGCCTCCGCCTCCCCCGGCGGCGCCCCCGGAGCTCGGGGCCGCCCTCGCGCACCCGGCGGAGTTCGGCGGCAGGAGAGTTGCCGGGCCGCCCGCGCCGCCCGCGGGACCGGGCTCCGGCGGGAGCGTGCTCCCGGGGCGCCCGCACCCGCTCCCCGGCTCCCCTCGGCGCCCGGAGCGGGCGGCCGGGCGCTGCCACCCGGGAGCCCGGCGCCCGGCGCCCCGGCCCCGCTTCCTGCACCGGAGCCCGCGCCCCTCCGGCCGGGCTCCCCGCCGGCGCCCCGGCCCCGGCCGCCCTGGGAGCCTCGGTGCACGCGGTCCGCTGGCCGCTGCGGGAGGCGGTGCCCGGCCCGGGGCGCGGGGAGAAAGGCGGCCGCGGTGCCCGCTGCGGGAGCGGCGCGGAGGGGCACTTTCCCACGTTGCCAAACCGGAGCCGAGGTCTCCGCGGGCGAGCCCCGGGGAGGGCCGGGCCGGGATGGGAGCCCTCGGAGGCGGTGGTGTCGCTGAGCAGAGGCTCCTTTGTCAGGGGTCGCATTGTTCCTGTCATCCAGGAAGGGGCACCGGGCACGGCCTCAGCACTTTTCCTGCGCTGCCTCCGGCCGCGGGCACTCCACAGCGAGCAGGTGCTGGCACCGCCTCAAGAATGAGGTTCGGTTTGAGCGAATTTAGTCTGATGTCCACACGGTCTGAAAAACACTTTCCAGCTCTTGACAAAAGTGTAGGGACTTTCCCTGTTATAACGCTCCTCTCAGGGTGGCTGCTTTCTGGGGTTACTTTCAGGCTTCACATTTCTGGTAAGTTAACAAAGTTCCACTGTGATTTCTAATAGATTTCAGCCATTTGGTAGCGGCTTATCAATAACTAGACCTAACTTTAAAAAACACACACACAAACTTAATTGTTGCAAGTGTTACATATGTCCCCTTTTTTGCCCCCCATCGATCCCCTCCAGCCCATTCCCACCCCCACCCCCGCCCCAGGCCTCCACCACCCCACTGTCTGCTCCATGAGTTACTCATATATGCATCCAAGGTCTTTGGTTGATTACCTTCCTTCTTCCCCCTCTTTCCCTCCGAGATAGACCTAACATTGAATCGGATCTTGTCTCCCTTTGCAACTAGGTGGGTTGGATAGTGACAGAGTTTGGGAGAAAACAAAGATTTGGAAGAAAATTCATTCCTCTGAGCTTGCTAAACCAGCTCATTAAATACACACACTTAACTGACTCACTGAAGATTTGCTGTGTTAAGAAGACACAAAAGAATTTTATGATTGGATTTGCAAGCCTAACTTAGCTACAGTTGTAACTATATTACATCTAATGGATACAATGGCTTTCCTTCATGGGCCTAGAGTATTTCATAAACATTTAATCAGTTCTTAGAACCGTACAATGTCAGTTCAGCTTTTCTTGTTCACCATGTGGGAGTGTGCCCCAAACTCGAATAAGCCAGTGGCAGAACAGAATTGATGAATGGGAGTCCCTGGTTCCTGAGTTCTCCAATTAGTGCATTATTAATATTAAATTTGTCAATGGATAATAATCTTTGCAGGGTTGTAAACTTATAAGCTTTCTTCAATGTGTTATGAAGAGTAAAAAGTCTCAGTATTCACTTTCTTTGCCATCTTTTGGTTAATTTCTTTTGCTTTTGTTTTTTATACTTTCTATAAATGTTTTAAACTTTTTCTGTAGTTGGCATTGAAATGTAGGCAAATGATTCTGGAGGAATTTTTATAGCTTCTTGGACATTCTTTGTGTAGTAAAATAAGGCACAGTTCACACTTTGAACTTGAAAAAGACTTATTTAGTAATTTCAAGCAGAGGAAGAATCCGTTAATCCAGCTCAAAACAGCCAGAGATTATAGCTGTTTATCAATAGTAATCCAAAATGGACTATTTTCTTAAAAATTTAAAATGTATTATCTTTTTAAAATTCTGAATGAAATAAAAAATGTCATTTGGTAATGTGATTGTCACGGAGAACTTTATTTTAAAAAATTCATACTCTATGTGGCTTTTGTGTATATGTATGTATACATGTATATGTGACTTTAAATTTGAGTAATAATTTAGTAAGAATTTAAAGCAATTTAGTTGTAAAATCTTACTTTGCATTTAAAAAAAAATGAAAATGTAAGGTAAGGAAATTTGACTTGATCTAGTGAGTTCTATATTTAATATTATCCCAGTATATCTATAATAATAACATTAACCATTGGAAAAATTCTACTTGTATTATTCTTGTTTCCCTAATAAACTAGCCCTAAAAATGTGTAATAGGAGAGCAATGTACTTGTGGGTTGTCAATTCTGTGGTTCCTATGGCATTCAAATTGTATCTGTGGAGTTAAAGTGTACAATTACTGATGTAAGGTGAGGGTGAAATCACATTTGCTTCAGTTAATAGCTAGTTTATTTATTTTAAATATTTTTATTGATTTCAGAGAGGAAAGGAGTGGGAGAAAGAGAGAAACCTGAATGATGAGAGGGAATCATTGATTCGCTGCCTTTTTCATGCCTCCTACTGGGGAGAGAACCTGCAACCAAGCATGTGCCCTTCATTGGAATCGAACCTGGGACCCTTTAGTCCGCAGGTTGATTCTCGATCCACTGAGCCAAACCAGCGAGGGCAATAGCAAGTTTAGAAAAAAAAGTGTGAGTGTGTGTATATTTATGTATATCTTATTTTATTTAACCCTTGTTATGTGCTAGATCCATTGGTAGAGAGAAGTATAAACTATTCCCTGTCCCTAGGAATATGCAGTTTATTTGAAGTAAGAAATAGCACCGGGCAGCAAGTAAAAATCAGGATAATTGAGACAGTGCTCTTGGGAGTTCTGAGGAGAGTGGAATCACTTCACTGTGGGATTTGAATTGTGCTTTGAAGAAAGGATGTTTGGGCTGGTTTGGAAAGGAGGAAAGAACATGGGAGAACATTACAAAGGTACAGAGGCAGGTAAATGTAGGTAGGTCAATTTAACAAGAATGGAAGATTCACCCAGGGGTGAATCTGATTGGAACTAGAGTATAGATGACTATGAATGCTATGCATCATAGGGATTTGACTTAGTCCATAGGCAGTCGGGACCTATGGAGAAGTTTCTGAGTAGGGGACTAATAATAGCGTAGCATTTTAGGGAAACTAATCTCTAGGCAGGTTAATCCTCACTTTATAGGTGTACAGCAGGGATCAGCAAACTTACTGCAGTCACAAATCCAGCCTGCTGCCTTAAAAAAATTATAAAATCCACTAGCTAAGAATGGTTTTTAATTTTTAAAAGGTTTAAAAACAAAAACCAAGAAGTGCAATAGAGACCATATGTGGCCCCTAAAGCCTAAAATTCTTTTTATTTGGTCCTTTACAGAAAAAAATTTGCCACACCCTTACTGTAGGTTAGTGTTGTTCAAAGTGTGATCTCTAGACCAGCAGCATAATGTGTCTGTACTCTGTATTTTCTCCAGATTTGTTACAGCTTGCATTTCATTATTTCAGGCCCTTTTATCTCCTGCAGGACAGATATAACTGCCTCCTAACCGGCTTCTTTCTGCCAATCTTATCCCCCTTCACTCCATCTTCTGCATTGCTCCCTGAATAATCTATCTGCCCACATAATTTCTTTACATAAACTTCACTGTCCCATCTAGCCCATTGCTTAAGGTCTAATAACTCCCTTGGTGACTTGCCATCTCTCTATTTCTTTGGCCACTTTCACCCACCCATCCCAGTTCTTGCCTTTATTATCCTTAGCAGCTGCTCTTTGTTTTTTTTTTAAATACAGTGTACAGTTTCTTATCACTATGCTTTTGCCAAGCTGTTCTCTCTGTTGGAATGCACTTTGTCAGGATAACTCCTACTCACCTTTTATTTATTTTTAAAATATTTTATTTATCGATTTTAGAGAGGGAAAAGGAAGGAAGGGAGGCAGGGAGGGCGGGAGGGAGGGAGAAACATTGACTTGTTCCATCTATCCATGCATTCATTGGTTGATTCCTGTATGTTTCCTAACTCGCTGTGGAACCTGCAACCTTGACATGCTCCAATCAATTGAGCTACCTGGCCAGGCCACTCCTATTCATATTTTAAAGATTCAGGTGCTGATAACCTCCAAGAAACTTACTCTAATGCCTTATCTGTCCTAGTTTATCTTAATTTTTTTTTTTTTTTTTTTTTTTTTTTTTTAAAGCCCAGCTGGCATGGCTCAGTAGTTGAGCAATTTACCCATGAATCAGGAGGTCATGGTTTGATTCCTGGTCAGGGCACATGCCTGTCTTGTGGGCTCAACCCCCGGTGTGGGATGTGCATGAGGCAGTCGATTCATGATGTTTCTTTCTTTCTCCCTTTCTCTCTCTGAAATCAGTAAAAATACGCTGTTTACTTTTTCATATTGATTTGTAGTTCTTTCTAGATTCTGGGTATAATCTTGTTAGATATGTCTATTACAAGTATCTTCTACTTTGTAGTTAGCTCTTTTGGCATTCCAGAGGGATCCCTTACAACTTAGTATTTTCTGAAGTTGGTAGGTTTTATAGATATATATTTTTTGAATATATTTTATTGATTTTTTATAGAGAGGAAGGGAGAGGGATAGAGAGCTAGAAACATCAATGAGAGAGAAACATTATCAGCTGCCTCCTGCACACTCCCTACTGGGTATGTGCCCACAACCAGGAACATGCCCTTGACTGGAATCGAACCCCGGACCCTTGAGTCCGCAGGCCGATGCTCTATTCACTAAGCCAAACCGGTTAGGGTAATATGTTTTATATCTTTAAGTGAATATTTAGTGTGGGAGAGATTTTTCTTCCCTTGGAAAATGGTTTTTATATTGATGGTACATCTTATAATTGCTGGTGTCATAGAATTGAGAAAATATATCAAAGTC